AACCACGTGATTCATCTTGACATCGGAAAGCACCCCTATATGCCGGACATAAATATCCATCGCATGTCGTGCAGTAGTAGCATTCTAGGCTTATCGCTCCCAGCAACCGTCTCGGAATACATTCCGGATACTATCGTTCGTTTGTTGAGCTGCGTGGCTGAAGATAATACTGCCGTTCAACCTCCCGGCGTCGTGAAGAATTTTCCGTCGGATGCGATCAGCTGCGGACGGGCCATCATTGCGTGCATCTCCGGGTGAATTAGTGTTCTAGCGCAGCACTTCCCCAGACGAGGACTCACGATGTCAAGCTTGGCATTACACATCGCGCACTTTGGAATGCACCGTCCCCAGATTTCTACCCCAGGATTTCTGCAACAATGCTTTTGTCACCCTTACCGCCATCGTATCGAGTTTGCGGGGTATCGACTAGTCGGTAGTCGTGGCTCTGCCGAACTCTATAGAAGCTCGCGACGTGCCTCGTCACGAAGCCACTAGCGATATGCAATTGCTTAACAAGAGCCCGGTAGCCTGGCGCCGAGCAAGGGAAGAACTCGACAAGCAGTGCAGTAGCGCAGTTGGCAACTGCCGATCAAGCAGAGCCTCCTTGGAAAAGATAACGGTCCCTACACCTTCGTGTGCTACACCTTGATTACGAGGGCATGAGGCAGCTTGTGTGATAGGTCCCTTCGTTACGAGGCGGTCACAAAGGCGGTTCTTCCTTCAGAGTCATACCGATATGTGCATGCACTGATACGGATAGGCCTGGACGCTGCCTTGGTTGACGCTCCGACATCGTCATGGGGCATGCGCGCAGACGTGGCTTTATCTTGGGTTGAGGTATCGTGAAGCAAGATGATGCCGCCAGTGGAGCCAAGCGCCAGCGCTAACCACACACAGTTATCAATTCCACTTCTTTCATCCCACTTCTGGTTCACTGTGGGGTAGCCGTTGATCAGGCTTATCTCCAGACTCTCAACATGCTCATGATGCTTTTTCAGCCATAATCTCCTTCACGAGCCCGCTGTGGATGATAATTCCAGGCGATGCGGATAAACTATCCATCGCATGTCCAACTTTTCCGCTCTGCGGGCGTCCTCCCATAGAGGGGTTTAAAAGCGGAAAACGTCAGTGCGAATCCAAGTGGCTGGCCAATCAGCCTCACTCCGATGCATGATACGGATGCATCGGGGAAAGCTAGACTGCTGAAAGGCCGAAGCTCGGCATCTAGGCTTGGACTCCCTGCATTAACCACACCAGCGACACCTTTTTATCAGCTGCTATCTTGGCCCACCCCAGTCTAATGATAGGCGAAGGGAACCACCGGGTCTGTCACTGCGCCGTCACGCGCATTTGAAGGGTCGTTTCCGCATTGTCTGGATCCGCATCTTAAGTCCTGTTACTTCACACCGGGAATCTCACCCCATTGTCGTTCGACATTCCCAGACCTCCTCCCCTCACCAAGTCTACCCACATTCTCAACATGCCCACATTTGCTCAAGACAAGGTTCTGGCGAGAGATCTGAAGGCTAAGAAGACCAAGTCCAGGAACGGATGTGGTCGATGCAAGCTCAAGAGAGTAAGAATCCTACGTCTTTGCCTGCCGTGTTGGCCACTTGCTAACAATAGTAAAGCTCAAGTGTGACGAGACCGCTCCCGGTTGCTTGCAGTGCAAGAAGAGGAACGTCGCATGCCCTGGCTACGAGAAGACTCTGAAATGGTCGACAAAGTACGAAGTCTTCAACCCTGCCCAGTCCAAGTCCACCTCTCCTAGGCCTAGATCGACACCTGACGCCACTTCTGCTGTCCCTACGGCTGCCAAATCTCCCCTTCCCCAAAACGTCGCCAGCGGCATTGAGGCTGCGTTGGCTGCCGTACTCCCTGCAGGCAGGAAGAACATCACCCCTACACAGCAACTCTCAACAACACAGACTTCATCAGCAATCCCATCTCCACCGAGCTTCGAGGAACCAGCCTCAATACACGAGTCTTCTACCGAGGATGGTGACTCTCCCCGCGAGTACGAGCCCTTCCCCATGGAGGATGTTAACAACATAGATCCTATCATGCTTGACGGATTCGCGGATGCTATGCAAATGCCCAATGAAGACTTCAACTTCGACCCATTTGAGACCATCGACTTCGACTCTGGATCACTGGAGGACCTTACCTTTGACATGCAAGACCTCTCACAGAAGCAAGACATGACTTCCTCTTCATTACCTACAATGGAACGAGATTCAATACGGGAATCCAGCCCCAGACTCTCGCGCTCATTGCTTCTCGACTTGTATCGTCTTCCAAGTCCTTCTCCAGACCCATCCTCACCGGATGATGTAGAGTCACTACTCGTCCAGCATTACTTCAAGGATGTCTGTGGTGTATTTTCTTCTTTTGATTCTGTTCTTAATCCTTTCCGGACTACCATTGGCCGCATCTACAAGGAGTGTCCTTCCATCAACTATGCGATCCAATCCATGGCTGCTGCGCACCTGGCTAACACCTTCCCCAACATGGCGGCAACAGGCCTTGAGCTACAGCGCAAGGCTCGTGAGGCATTGGAAGCAGAGCTCCCGCTTGCACAAAGGGACCACAAAAGCACGACCAAAACTTTCTTGAGCATCATGCTGCTGGGTCTCACTACATCATGGCACGACAGCAACGCACTTGGACTAGAGTACCTGTCTCTCGCAAGAGATCTGATCTTACCTAAGCTCTTCAGCCGGTCAAGAGGAATCGAGTTCGAGCGTGAAGCACAGTTCTTTGAGGAATCCTTGATCCACTGGGAGATGCTCATGGGCTTCGTAACAGAAGACGCAATGAGCTTCTCTCCCAAGTCAGGACTGCGACCTAGCATCACCTCCAAGAAGACTACTCCTGCTGCACGCGGACCACAAGGCAAGATTGTTCCTCATCCTTGGACAGGCATCGCACCTATGATTCACTTCCTGTTTGCTGAGGTCGGTCGCCTGGTTCGTAAGGAGCGCTCAATGGATCGGGAATCCTCCATGGACCTCCGTCGACGACAGGAAAACCTTCAGAACGCCGCATCGCTCGAAGAAGACCTCTTGGCTGTCGACTATCCATCGGTTGACCAGGTCATTGACACGGGTGATGAGCGTACTCCCAAGGAACACTTCGTTACCATTGCTGAAGCGTATCGTCTTGCTGGCTTGTTGGAAATCTACCGCGTCTTCCCTTCCATTCTTCGCAAGCGTTTGGGATCAGACAAGCCTAAGGGCTCCGACAACATGAACCTTGACTTCCCAGCCCCACGATTTGAGACAGTCTACGAGGATACTGACATGAAGTTATGGCTCAACTCTCTTGCGATGCACATCATCGGCTCGCTTCAGTCTCTGCCCTCTTCGTCTGGTACATTCTGTATTCAGCCTCTTCTGCTCGTCGTTGCTGCCTCTGAGCTAAAGTTCGTCTCATCGATTGACTTCTTCGATGTCCAGGCCAATGACTCAGAGATTGTTGGTGCTCGCGAGTTCATCATTAGGCGTTTGCAAGAGTTCGCCCTTAGGCTACCTAACAAGCCCCTTCGCAAGATGATTCAGCTTATCAAGGAGACATGGCGCCAGTCCGATGAGGGCCATGATGCCTTCTGGATCGACGTCATGAACGAGAAGGGTTACCACACCATCATGTGAGCCTGACTCTGTCGACCTCTACCAGTTCAGCGAGCGGGATCCGGCGGCTCCCCTCAACCAAAACTTTGTCCTTTCTACGATACACTTACGACGTCACATTAGCGCTTTTCCTGGATACGGCATTTCTCTACGGCGTTCGACATCCTGTTCCTGTTTTCTTTTACGCGCGCCATTCCCGGAGACCAATCTTGTGGTCTTCACCTGTACGACTGTACCCACAGTTCCTCGATACGAACTCTAATGTACGGCTTCCACCTATACCTCTCGGTTCTCAAGCATCCTGGTGATGTGAATGCGGACTCCTGGCCTACTGCGACAACGCCCTAATACGACTACGATACCCCCGCGCGATACCCTAGCAACCTTACCATTGCCAACTGCGATAAAACAAACCCTTAATACTGGTACCCATCTGGAATGCTATGCCAGCAACCTTCTTCCCTTCTGCGACTATCCCATTACGATACCATCAGCTGCGAATCAGCCCACTGCGATGACCTGTTACGATGACCTGTAACGATAATACATGGACCCATACCAGGACTCTGTTCCGCATAATGACATCTATCGAGATGCCCATAGCGACAACCCGAGCGACCTGACTCTTTCCAAGCGACACACCTTCCTACTACCAAGCAACAACTAATTCCTCTTTCCACCCTTGCGATACCCCACTGTTTGTATATTAGTAGTAGTTCTCTTTCTGGTAGGTATGACTAGATGCTTCCATGTGTTTTCCGATCGCGACACTTCGTCCATTGCGGCCGTGCGTCCTTGCGCCCACCTACCTGGTTCGACCGTTTGCGCCCTGCCACGATTGGATCGATGCATCGTCCGGGTGACCTGTATGTAGATTGTTTGTTATAGCGGTTCTACTCTTTCTTTACGATACCCAATCTCTTTACTGGTTTGTGGACCGGGTTTACTGTTCTTTTCATCGCAACATCTTGTCGCACGCTTTGCCGTGCAATGTCATTGTATCAAACATTATTACACGAAGGGGGTGGGTGTTCGGATGCACGAAAAGAGGAAGGAGGATTGGTGGATGAAGGATGTTACGATGCTGTCGCACAGGCACCGGCGCGTGTCTCCCTAGGCCAAACTTGGGGTGCGGGGCATTCTTGAGAGGCGATGGAAGAAAGGTTGCTGAGGTTTCTCCGCAGATGTCATGGCGGGTGAAACCCCATGACATGCAACGGTTAGAAAAGGCCCAGTTATTTTTCTGGACGTAGTACGGTGCCACTTTACATCACGCTGTCGCATCGCTGGAACATGCATGCATAGTAAACATGTACAAGTGGAAAGTGCAACATAATACATTCATTTAAAGCCGTGATGTAGGTAATACTACATCACAGGCCTATTTGCCTCATCATCACTATCATCGTCATATGCAATGAACTCCCTCCTTCCGCTCGACGCCTGCGTGACAAAGTATCGTGTTGTCTCGTATGCTCGTAGCTTCTTTTCTGCGCCCGGACTGCATACCAAGTCTGCTTGCTGGGGACCAGTAGGAATGGCTAGGAGACGCTTCTCCGCACCCGATAAGCGCAACCTGCTGTGTTTTTGGCATGTTGGCTCAGGAGTGTGCTTGTTTTCCATCCTGAGAATGCAGTTAGTACGTGATACAGTTCAATCAGTTGAAGATAGGTGGTGTCTTACCATCGCTTGCCCAAATGCACACCCTCAGCAACACAAGCCAATACCGCCGACACAACGATAATCTGAAGCGCCCATAGCCCCACAAACGAGCTGTGGAACTCGGTCGGCGATGATCGAACTTCTTGATAACATAGTATCCTCCCTTGTGGCCGCGACGATGTAGATTGTGCTTCATCATCTTCCGCCATTTCCGGATTGCTCATCAACACAGACGTTGGTAATGGCTTCTGAGCATCCTTGACAGCTCCCCGCATATACGAGTTGTAGATCTCGGGTTCAGTGTGCTGCAACTTCTCCAATTTGGATCCTAGGCTTGCGCATACATTCATTGCGGCCACGGGACTTGGTAGGGTATTTGCGGGCGACCAGTGCGCAGCCGAGGGTGTGTATGCAGCTGATGCAGGAGCCGGTGATGATGGGATATCATTGACGATCTCGCATCGGCAATGTGTTTGTGTAGGTGCCGCAAGTGTTGTTGATATGATAAGGGTCGCGATAAGCGATGTAGAGAGTTTGGCAAACATGTTTGCTGTAGTGATTGGACTTTTTCTCGTAGCGATTGAGAAAGTCGATTGTATATTTAGTATTCCCTTGCGCTGGAAAAGCCACGCGGTGTGACGTTTATACCAAGATGAGGGGAAGGGGCGCAGCAGTTGTGGTTTTCTTGTATCTGTTCGGACCGTTAATGCTGTTGTCTCGGGGGTACTTGCGCTTGGTGGCTAAGATTACATACCAGAACCAAGGACTGGGCCTTGAGCGCAATGTAAGCGGGTTGCTCGATGATAAGCCGTATGATTACCACGCTTAGGTTGGCCGTTATCTGGAGGTCTGGTGTATTGAGCCGATGCAGATTAGGCAGTAGTTGGGTAGGGGAGTGCGGTGTTGCTGTTGTTGTTGGTGGTGGTTATGAAAGGGTGCTGATGATATGCACTTGCAACAACTACAAGCAGTATACACGAATTAGATTACTTCGAATCACTCGAAAGAGACGACAGGCAAAAATCTGAATGCGCGCAGCAGAGGCCCAGTCTATATGCAAATTCCTATCATCACCCCATTCTGCCTCAGCGCAGCTGTTGTATCAGCTACGCCCACACCACGACCGGCCGTTTCGCACAGTAGCATCTCGCCGGGGGTCTAAGCGGGAAGCAGACCAGGTTCTAGGTCAGCGACCGCCCAGGGGTCCCGCGCTGCGCTGCGCCTTTCTGCTGTAGCTTTAACCGAGATGAGCACTGGTTTGAGCAGTATACGAACGGCGGCTTTGTCTGTAAAGAGGTTGGGATGAAATATTTGGTGATTTGGTAGTCTTCATTGAAAGTTTAGGTTAGATTGCAATGTCATTGGTGCACTGGAGGCGCAGCTGCACGGCTGGGAATGAGTTGAAGCTAGCGGAGTCCCCGCAGATCTCTAGCATCATTACTACGGCTTGGAAAGAAGGATGATGCTGGTGATGTTCACCTCATTAGCTAATTCACATTCCTGTTCGATGACGAACTTGCTCGTTTTTCGCTGATCTTGCAAGTTTTGTTCTCCTTCTCACAGAGCGGACCTCACTCCGCTCGCTTCGCCTCGCACCACCTCACAAACAAGGGGGCTCCACTCGCTATCACGGACTGCGAAACGTTACTCTCGCACACGGACGTCTGCATACGGTACCAACCCTTTTCTAGCTCTAGCACGCCTATCTTTTCTTCTCCCGCGTGCGTCTTCCCGAGTCGTACCTGAGGCTAGAACGAAGGCAAACATCCTCGGTCCTTCCCCACAGCGCCTGCTATTAATACTCTTTTCTTTTTCATTGCCCAGCGGAGTCGTGCGATATCTCGTATAGCCTACCGTTCTTTTTGAGCCTTGGTGTTGAAAGCGCGAACGCTCTGGAGGGCTCTGGACCAAACTGTTGCGCGAGTGATACGAACACCGAGTTACCTCGTGGTGTTGTTGTGGTGTATCGCCCGCATAGCTTTTTCTCGGAATTCAAGTCTCACCTGTCACGTCAGATGTCGAACACGGCGTCTTCTCCGCGCACCACTATTTAACCGTACAGAAATTTTCGCGGGACCGCGAGCGGAAGGCCAAACAGTTGGAGTCGTGGATTACCTTTTCCTCGCGAAACGCATGGCTTGAGCTTCCGAAACGGATCTCCATGGCTAAGAAATGCCGCGGAAAGCTTGTGGTTGATAGAGGTCAGGATTGAGGCATGTGGTGTTTCATCTTGGTGGGGTTGTATACCGGTTAGCAGCATGCGCGGTTGATATCATATCGCAGAATGGCACAATACCTATATCTTGGGCGAGGGCCGCGGTAGATATCGATTATGAAAGTGGAAGTAGTGGATGTTTTGAGCATGTCGACAATGGAATCATTGTCTTTGTGAAACGTAGCGTAATATTGGAACCCCATACCAGCAGCCGTTGCTCAAAGACGGTAGGGTGCCTTGCGATAAGGTATCTCGAGTCCTTTACGCTCGCTGTCAGTCCAGAATCGGATCCACGGGTTCCTTTCTTCGTAACTAAAATCCCATGGTGCTACTACACTGCAGTATTGCTTCTCAAGTCCTTCTTCGAGCTCATCTCAAATGGTAACATAGCCTGGATCTATCTTCAATACCTCCTCTCTCATAAAATCTATATTTTCTGGCGTTCGCACTGCCCCAGAATTATCCGCTCTAACCTTCTGATAGGAATGTCCTTCCACTCGCCCATCCCTATACTTCCATTCTGCATCTCAACTCTCGACCCTTCTGTCTGTCAGATTTTGCGGCCAGGAGCTCGACGTGATGTGCTCTTCCATCGTGACAATCTTTCAGGGGCGCCATCCTTGTAAGATTGCTCTTCTCTTCCTTGAACCATAGCATGCCGCAGGATCATCATCGGATCGGACGGCAGGACATTCATTTTTACCGCGGCCGGCCCAAACTCCGAATGTCCATTGTACCAATTGATCACATTTGGAAACACGAGAAGCACGGCAACCTTCGGTCATTTCAGTCCAGTGATTGCAAATATACTGCTTACAAACTATGCAGTGTCTGTGGATGCTCGGTAACTCGAAACTGTCAACCTTTTCGGTGCGTGACATAAGCCATACAGCAAGTAAGAGAGGAGTATTTGGCCGGTTGCGTCACAGCGTGCTATACCTGTTGGAGGCAGTTTTGTTGGTTAGGAGTGACATGATCGACTCGTGAGAGTAAATGAACGACGAACCGATAGCGGTAGCTTGTTGGAGTTGACAGTGTGAACGAGCTGTGTGCCGATGATGCCATGGCGCGATACATAGATGGAAGGCAAGCATGAGGATATGGCTGCTCAATATTCAACTTCCAGTACCTCATTGAGGCAACGGCCACCGTGCTTCGGTCGGAAGGAACGGCTTGTTGCTCACGGTGGTGATAAGAGACCTCGTTGCTATATTCGTACGATACGTCAAGCACAACTCGTCAAACGTTTTGCAAGTCATGTTTGATTGCAAAATACAGGCAGGGTGGTGAATTCACATATTCAAACTAGGCACTAGATGCTTATGCTTCGACATCTCTGATATGGACGTTGTACGTACGCTAGTCTGGCATGAAATTTTCTTCCTCTCCGCCCGCTCTTGTAATTCGCACCCTACCCCCAGTATCCGTCTTCCATCCACGTACATCATCCACCATCTAAGCACTCACGCCACTCTAAATGACGATCGTTCCATTCTCTCCAGTGATGAGATCAATCTCTCCAGGTTGGACCGTTCCGTTGTCCACAGCCGCAGCATGTCCCCTTGCAACCATTCCGTAAACCGGCAAGTACTTGTCCAGGTATGGCAGTACCTCCTTAGCACCGGGGGTGTTGCGCCAGTCCCTCATCAAATCACATACGATAGAGAAGAGCGAGACAAGTTGAACACCTGCGGCTTGCATGCGCGAATTTGCTGTATCGCGCACGAGCTCCGAGTAAGTACCACTGGCTTCGACGTTGGCAAAAACAGAGTAGCCTTCTGCGCGGAGGGCAAGAGCGAGGAAGGTGGTGCAGACGTCTGTAGTAATGCCTCCGACGATGATTTGGGTTTTGTTTGCCGCGCGAATGGCGGCTTTGAAATCAGCGTTGTCCCAGGCGCTGGGGATGTGTTAGCTGAATACGCAGCGATGGATGTCTTCTCGAGTGGATGGGTAACAAGAAGGAGTGAACGAAGCAGAAATGACTTACTTGACCTCGCCTTGACGTCTGATGAGCGGCGCATCGGGATACATCTCCAACATCTCCTTGGGCAAGGGACCGTTGGGACCTTGGTCCGCAGATGTGCTCAGGATGACAGGGATGTCGAAGACTTTGCCTAGCTCGGCATGTGCCATGATGTTTTGCTTGTAGAGAGTTGGGTCCCAATCTCTAGCGAGTTGGAAAAGACCGACTTGCAGATCGAGAATCAGGAGTAGCTGGATTGGATGTCAGATGGCAGTATAGGTTGGGTTGGGGGAATGGTGACTTACTGCGTCGTCTTTGTCAATACGCTCCCACGGTACAGCTGATATGTGTTAGCTATTGAAGACACGTATCGTTTGACTATCGTACCATCACCGCGAACGGTGTTGAAAAGCGTGAGAGCCGCAAGGGCGATGGTAGAAGCGAACTTCATCTTGAGGGCTAGCAACGGAATTGAATAGGCAGGCTATGCTATTGAAGTCTGGGAAATGCTGGATAGCGATGCGATGGCTGATTGTTTACAGGCGGTGCAAACCTCCCTTTATACCTCGAAGTCCTCCTCTTCTACCTGTCAACTCTTGCATCCTGCTCAGAGCCCAGTCCATGTATCCACTGCTTCGTGCCAATGTCTCTTCGGCCTTGGCCCGCAAGCCTGGCCTCGTATACTGTGGTTCAACCCTACATCTGGGTGGAGCTTGCAGTGGAGTTCTACATCGCGCAGCTTGCTGACTACTATCTTCATCAGGGAATTCTGCAGCCTCAATGCTATGAAAGCCATGACTAACCAGTAGACCGGATTGCTTCCATCCCAACTACGACAAAACTGGTTACCTGCGCGGAGTAGCCCCGCGTTACCGCCCGTAGTCTACCCATCGTGCATGCCCGAAGTGGATCACCGTCGACATTGTTGGTATTGAGACCGCACGCATGGAACGTGACCGGTATTATTTCGTCCTGAATAAGTCTTTGGTAACCAGCAATAGAGTATGCAGTACATGTAGGGCGCTGCTGCTAACGTCATGGCCCCATGTACTTTCGCCTCGGTTGAGGCTGTTGTGCATCCGGAGCTAACCGGTTACCACCTTAGAAAGCTGCAAGTCAGCAACAAGGCTCTTATTCATCAGCATTTGGTCACCCGCGCTTGCACTCAATCCTCATACAATTTCGACAGGATCGAGGATCTGTGCTTGAAACATTTTGGTCAGGAATTGGAAATTCTAGTCTCGGGTTTGACTGGTGGAAATGCCCTAGAGAGTACGTACCGATTGTGAATTCCGACAAGCACGGTCATGAGTAAGCAATAACAAAGACGTAGCGCAAAAAAATCATCAAACAATCATCGTATACAT